TAGCTCGATCGGTGTGCGGTGGTTTGTTATGACCCCCCCCCCAAGGCCCAAGGCCCAAGCCCCAATGCGTCAGGGGCGGCGACCCCCCCATCTACAGATGATATGCGCATCCTAGATGCCAAACGCCATCTAGGATGCGTTTTCCATCTAAGGACACCGGGTGTCTCCACTATGATTGGGTTCTCCAAGAAGATTCAATCATCTTTAGATGGTGCCCCGCGTCTTTTGATAGCCCGTGACATCTCAGATACTGCAGTCGTCTTCAGACGCACAAGTGTGTCGAGATGATACCCTCATCTTGGGTTAGTCCATGCATCCCAGGATGCAATGTGGCATCTGAGGATGCGCAATGCATCTCAGGAACATGAGCGCGTTGTCGGAGTTTTTCCCTATATTTTTCGATCGACAGTGTCGGAGTTTTTTGCCGAACCCGAACCCGAAATAAAAACCAGTCTTACATATACAACCGCAACCTTCCATAGTGTAGAAAAGTCAGCATTAGCACAAGGGCTAAGTGCCCCCCACCATCACTCACTGGCTCCCAGTTCCATCACCATCAGTAGTATTCCACAGACAACAGAGTAGTTAGTCACATCACACTTACATAGCCATACTAGTAGCAGCTGAGATTAGCATAGATTCATAGTCTCCACTCCCACTTTGATCCAAGGGCTCACACGCCGCTCAAGTCTTTAACTTGCATTTTAATGATTAAATGCCAAGCATCTTGGGATGCGAAGCATCTTCAGATGATTCGAGCATCCCAGGATGCCCCGGCATCTTAAGTTGAAAATACCATCTAGAGATGCTCGAGCATAGGCAAGACAGTGTGCAGTCCAAGTAGGCGCATCTTAGATGCATATTATCTCAAGATGCGCATATCATCTGTAGATGGGGGGGTCGCTGCCCCTGACGATGTGCAATGAACACACCAGTGAGGGCGGGCCGCAGGACGATATTATCGAGGGGGGCTACCACAATCAATGCGGAATCGACCCTATCCCAGTCAACAGTGCAGGCTAAACCTCCGAAAATGTGCACCTGGGATATGGCTGCGCTTTTCTTCCCCGTCAGGGGCAGCTGACCCCCCATCTACAGATGATATGCGCATCTTGAGATAATATGCATCTAAGATGCGCCCTACTTGGACTGCACACTGTCTTGCCTATGGCTATGCTCGAGCATCTCTAGATGGTATTTTCAACTTAAGATGCCGGAGCATCCTGGCACCTGGGATGCTCGAATCATCTGAAGATGCTCGTGCTAAGGATGGCTGGCATGCCTAGATCTCAGCCATACCCTCCTACCGGATGGCTGAGATTTAGCGTAGGCATGGCCAGCCATCCTTAAGTCACATAGCTGCAATTAAAAGAAAGCATCCTAGGCACTCCGCCCTCCCAGCACGGCGACGCGCCATTTTGGCTGCGTTTCAGCGCCCATCTTAGGATCCTCACAACCCCTTTTCTGTTGGTCAGGATCTAGTAAGCTCAGCCATCTCCGGCCGATGGCTGCGACGGCTGTATATGACAGCCATCTCGCGGCCGGGCGGATGGCTGGGACACAGCCGTCGCAGCCATCTTACGCACGATGGCTGCACTGGCTGGTGCGCAGCCAAGAATGGCAAGATAGCGCGTGCTGGGAGGGCGGAGTGCGTAGGATGCTTTCTTTTAATTGCAGCTATGTGACTTAAGGTCCTCCGGGCCAGTTTCGGGGGGCAAACCCTGCCCGGCCGATAGAGCCCCAGGTAAGGTCCAGGTGTGGCCTAGGGCATCAGAAGGGACCAAGAGGAGTCCAGTCTGAGCCATAGAGCCCATGTCTTTGCCCCCGAAGGTCGCGTTCAAATGCCCGGAACGGACGTTACAGTGGTGTCCGGCCGGCGCGATCACCGAGCTGTGACGCTCAGGGAAGCCTGATGAAAAATAAAATATTCTTACCTTCAAGCCCCCCTCCGAGACTAGGGACAGAACCCACCCGTACACAGGAGAGATGGGACTGCGCCTCGCCCCCACTTGCCCTGACTGCACAGGATTGCGTGCCCCGAAGACGGCGACACATAGCGGGGGACACTGCGCAAGGAGGGGGTGCGAAGCCAAGGTTGGGGTTCTAGGTGGTGGGACCATGAGGGGGGGTGGGCGGGGTCCTGTGGGGGTGAAATGTTGCGCGGCGAATTCGAACCTACCCCCTCGCCGCGCCGATCCTCACGCGGAGGGTAAAACCCTGTGGGACAAAACCCCTCCGCGGTCGGCTGTCTTCAGAGTGGACCCCCCCCTCCCCAGCCTCCCCTGTTCGTTTTTCGCACCCCCCCCCCCCGCTCCCCATCGGTGACTCGCGAAGGACACGGACACTCGGGGTGGGGGGGGAGGGGTCCCCCAGAGAGGGGGCTTTGGGGCCTTGTTGAGTCAATCTCCCCCCCAGAGGGGCCTCGTTGGGTCGATCTCTGGCCGATCTCGTGTCAATCTCGTGTCAATCTCGGGTCGATCTCGGGTCGATCTCGGGTCGATCTCGGGTCAATCTCGGGTCAATCTCGGGTCGATCTCGGGTCGATCTCGGGTCGATCTCGGTTCGATCCCGGGTCCATCTCGGGTCGATCTCGGGTCACGTCGTGCGGCGTAATGAGGCGAGATGAGGTGAGATGAGGCGAGATGAGGCGAGATGAGGCGAGATGAGGCGAGATGAGGCGAGATGAGGCGAGGCGAGGCGAGATTAGACGAGATGGGGCGAGATTAGGCGAGATGGAGCGGGATATCGCGAGGTGCAGCCAGCTCCTGCCTGGATGGAGTCAGGATAATGCCTGGGAAGATTCTGATTGGTGCCTGAAGGGGGCTAGGTATGCCTGGAAGGAGCCAGGTTGATGCCTTGAGGCCTTGAGGGAGTCGGCTTGAGGCCTTGAGGGATCCATATCTGGATCCCTCACGGCCTCAAGCCGACTCTCTGGTTCTTCTGGTTCCTCTCGGCGACGCCCAATGCGTGCGCCGGCGTGGGGAGTGTGCGTGCGCGCGCGTGTGTGAGATGAGGATTGTGGCAGGCTGGCTGCTGCTGATGTGGGCAAGTGTGCTCTGTGTGCGGCGCTGCGCTGGCGTGCGATGCGCGCGTGCTGTGCGCGTGTGCGTGTTGGAATCGCGCGTGCGTCTGCGTGTGCTGCGCGCGCGCCGGCGTGTGCTGTGCGCTGTGCTCTGTTGTGCGCCTGTTTGTGCAGCTGGGAGGCGCAGCTTTGGCTGGCAGGGCTGCGCGGTGGGCTGCGGCGTGCTGCGGGTGGTCGCGCGCCTGCCTGATGGTGTACGGCGGCCGCGCAGCCCGCCCGACCGGGTCGTCGGCGGCCCAGGGCGCGAGCATGCGGTCGGCGCTGCATGTGAGGCTGCTGCGCGGCTGGCGCGTATGTTTCCGTGTGGTGAGGGACGCGCGTATGTGTTCACGCTGCGGGCGCGGGCGGGCGCGGGGGGCGGCGCGGTCTCACCGCGGTCCGACGTCGGTTGGTCTTCGGCGTGGCGAGGGCGGGCGCGCAGAGAGGCCTTGCCGCCATCGCGTTGCCGCGAAGGAAAAAGAAAAAACTCATAGGGAAGCCTGATGAGGTACTGGTTTCTTTGCCCAGGGCTGGCCTACGGCCCGTGCTGGATCAGCTGAGCAAGGTTTGGGGAGAATCCCCCGGTCAGATCTTCAGATATTTTGATGGATGACCGAAAATGGGCAAAAACGGGATGATCTCTCTCTCTCTCTCTCTCTCTCTCTCTCTCTCTCGCACACACACACACACACACACACACACACACACACACACACACACACACACACACACACACTCACCATTCGGATGGTGTACGCTTGAGATCGTCGAGAGAATCGATGTCTGCGGGTCGAGACCAAATGCCAGGGGCAGCTGGGGGCAGGGCCATCCTCGGAGTACCGGTACTCGAGTACACGTGGCGCGCCCACACACACTCGTCCCGCCTCGTCCTGCCCGTCCTGCTTAATCTGCCCACATGCCATCGAAGCCAGCTGCTCCCGCTCGGCCAGCAAAACCCGCCTACAAGCTGCAGGGCTCGCGCAAGCGTCGTCGGCACTGCACTGGCTTGCGGTTGCTCGCGCTGCTCGGCGCGCTCCTGGCCGCCGGTGCGGCAGCGGCGTTCCACGCGCGGCCGCAGCTGTGGGACACTCTCAAGGAGGCGGCGGGTCTCCGGCGGACGCGGCGCTGGGCGAAGCTGGCGGAGCAGCAGGCGGCCGCGGCGGCCGCGACCACCAAGAAGGCAGAAGCGGCGCCGTCCGTGGCGACGCGCCTCTTTGAGCGCGCCGCCCTGCCGCTAGTCCGCGAATACATCATTTCGCACTATGACGACTTTGCGGCCTCCAAACTGACGTTTCGCGACCTGAAGGAGCACCTCGGGAGCGCGATGGGGATGACCTACGAGGAGCTCAAGAGCGACGAGCTCTCTGCAGTGATTGAGGACGCCGTGGACGCCATCTCCACAAAGTGCGATAGCGGAAAGACGGACCGGGAGCAGTGCGCGTCAATGCTGGGGTATGTCCCGACGGGCGAGGCGTAGAGGGTCGGGCCCATACACCAGACCGCTCCACTAGAACGCACCGACGCACTAGAAACGCGGCGCCAGTGTTTGAATCCGGCCGTTGACACAGCCGTTACACACGGCTGAAATCAGGGCCAACTCGGCGCATTCAGATTCACACCTCTGCACGGCACCTCTGTTCACGCCTTTATATGTTGTCACACAAAAACGGAGTGTCGGTGTCGAGGGCTCGGCTGGAGTCGGGAGGCGTTTGAGAGAGAGCCGCACACCCGCGCAGGTGCGCACACCACGGTGGCCTGTCCCGCGTGTGTATGTCCGAGTGACCACAGACCCTCTGCGAAGTCACTCTGGCTCGGCGCGAGGTCGCGCGCGGCTGCTCCGGTGATGAACCTTGTAAATACAAAACGAAGACACATTACACACACACACACACACACACACACGACCCCGAGAGCGTGTTTTCACATTTTCAGTGTTTTATCACTTCCCTTTGGCCGCACGCCAGTCCGCATAGTCGGCCGATGAGAGTTCGTAGGCCCAGTGAAGCAGCGTCTGCCGGATCACGGGGCTGACGGCCACGTCGTCCCAACGCCCCGAGCCCCTCTGGACCGCGCCGCACAGCTGGTTGCGCCACCGGCCGCGGCTCGAGGCGCACGCGCGCCAGCGGGCGATCTGGCGCGCGTCGTCTGCAGAGCGTCGGCCGCAGAAGAAGCGGCAGTACCACTGGAACCAGCCCCTCGGGTCTTGGGCATGGATCCAGCCCTTGCTCTCCCACTCCCTCTGCCCGAAGCCAGACTTGACTCGATAGGCGTTGGTCATCACGTTGTAGCGGCGCGAGAGGTACAGGCTCTCATCGGCCTCAAACCACTCGGCTGGGAACTCGGCGTGGTCGATGGCGATGTCGCGCGAGAAGATACCAGCCTTGCCACCTCGAGGGTTGAAGTAGCAGCCTCCAAAGATGCCCTTACGGATGCACTCGGCTGGCGTCAGCGACGGGGTGAACTCCGGTGCGTCGGCGAAGCAGAGCTTGCCATCGGATGTCTTGGTGCCATCGTGCAGAGCATCCCATCGCGGCGCGGGTGCGTCCGGAGGGTCCTCGAGCAGCGTGTAGCGCTCTCCGCCATTCGGCGCGGCCGCACCCACAGGCATAGTCCCAGCGCCGCGGTTGATGACGGCTGCACCGCGCTGCCGTGCGGCTTTGACCGCCGCGACGCCGGCGGCGCGGCCACGCTCGTTTGCAGCATCAACTACTGCTGAAGAGGCTGCGCGTTTCATCTACGGCTCGTCACGCTGCCAGGGTGAAAATACACGTCCCAGGCTCCACACGTACCCGAGAGCGCCAAAAACGAATAACGCACTGGATGTGCGGTTACTGACTGCACTCCAAGTGCTCCAAGTGCACGGGCCCTCAGGAGAGTGGACCGTTACGGAAAAGCATGCGCGACGCTGCCTCTTTGCACCGCTCGCTCGCGGCTGCGGGAGACATGGCCGCCGATGCGGCTCGCACTCGCTCGGCGGGCCTCCGTCCCACAGCCGCCCGGGCGTGCCACGGGTCTGCCTGGCGCTGCGCTGCTCGCACGCTGCACTGCACAAAGCTGCGACAACAAGGGGAGGCTCCTGAGCTTGAGGGTTGAGCAGTGCAGCTGCGGGCGCTCGTGGGCGGCTGTGCAGTGGTGAGAGTGCCTGATTGGAGGCGAGCTGGTGCTGCGCCAGGGTGCGCAGCATGCGCTCTTGCTCTGTGCTGAGGCATGCTGGCTGGCGCCCAACACAATGCCCTGGATGCATTGCTCCACGCCGTGCTGGCTGGTGCAGTACTGCCAGTGCGCCGACTGGCGCGCAGGGTGCGCGTCGCCGCGCGTGGCACGGGTGGCTCGAGAGGCGCGGCTGTCGTTCAACCCCGCGGCGCATGTGCGCCGCGGAAGCTGCTCGACAGGCTGCGGGCATCGCTGCGGCAGAAAGCGCCCGCCCTCTGCTTTGCTTTCGCCCGCGTTTTACGACAACTTTCGGTTTATCATAGCCGCCGAACTTTACCTCGCTGTTTCTTTATAGGCGTCTCGCAGCTGCGTATTCTCGTATTATCTTCGAGTAGTTGCGTGGGGGCGGTATGTATTCTCGTATCAGTAGTTAGTGTCGTGTCCACTAGCTCCGAGTAGAGGGCAGCGTCCTGCAGTTAAGGGGAAACCTGGTACGCGGGGCTAACCCTCGGAGAGTATTCTTTAGCTCCGAGTAGAGGGGGCGTTCCGCAGCTAGGGGGACCCACAGCGCGAGGGAAAAATTCCGCCGCTGGGGGAAACCCGGAGCGCAGAACTAACCCTCGGAGACGTGTTATGGCCCTGCGACCGCGCACCCCGGGGTCAGGGCTCTCTAGCCCGTAGCCCGATACCGATCATCCGGCCCGCTGGATGCGCTTCTCAGCTCACCGGCCCTGGATGTGAGGTTACCGACTGCACTCCAAGTGCTCCAAGTGCTCCTCAGCGGAGCTGGGAATAGGACCGCCGCAAGCGGCGTGGCGTGGAGCGGTTGAGCATCCCTCCGGGGGGCCCTCTGCGCCGGGGAGGCGTTGTTGGAGGCTAGGACGCAAGCGTCCGTCGCCCTTTTCAAACTCGGGGCCCACTCCGCTACGCTCCGACCCGAATTTGGAGGGCCTAAAAGTTTAAGGTGTTGCTGCGCAAAAGGGGTCGGACACAGGGCGCAGCTCATGCTAAGAGCTAGAAGGGGAGCTAGAGAGAACGCGACTACCCTGTCCCGTTATTGCGTACACCAACACCACAAAAGCTCTCTCTCTCCTGTCCTCACTCACTCATAGCACAGAGGGGGGTCACAACTACCGAGTCTCTCGACTAGCTGCCACGTTGCCGACCCAGAGCGGATCTCCTCCTGCTCCGCAAGGAGGGTGGCCAAGGCTAAAGTCTTGCCGGAGCCGCCGGGCGTGTTGACGACTTGGAGAAGGTCGCGCTTTGACTTTGTCTTTTCTTGTAGAGATGCTCGAGGGGGTGCTTTGTGGGGCGGTGCGCAGCCAGGCCAGCAGTGAGGGGAGGCGCACCCTCACTCTCCTCGGTTGCAGAGCTCGTCGGAGGCTGCGTCACGACGGGAGGGTCGCGACAGCAGGTGAGATCGAAAGACAGCGGCGCTTTCGTATGTCGTCCACGCAACACCGCCAAGGTCGCTCGGTCAGAAAAAGAAAAAAATCTGGCATGGGGGAACGGCAAGGACCGCCACCGCACGTTTGAAGCTGGGATTTTCCGGGTACGTCATCCGATCTCGGGTCCCTGAGACTGCTGTGAGCACGCCCCCAAACCTCCCGTCCGCGCCGGGGAGAACGGCGGCGCACAAAAAGATTTTTTCCGTTTTTGTTCTTCCCTTCTTTGCCTCTTGAGTGATAAAAGGAAAAGCCGCCTCGCCAAGTTGGTCGCGAGCGGAGAGACCCGTACTGGTACACAGGTGACACATACCGGTAGCGACATTGGGGTAGCATGGAGCAAGGAGTAGGAGTGTCCGCTGCACTGTCTGCGCGAGACAACGACATGGACACTAAACTCAAGGGCGCCCTCTCGCGGTCAGCGGCGAGCTCGCCAGGCATCGCAAAACGCGCTACAGCCGCTGCACGCCCGCGAACGACACGACGACATTGGCGCTGATGCCGTAAGCCATGGCACACGGAAAGACGGGCCCCGTGATGCCCGTCGCCTTGTGCGGGATCTCGACCTCGTTGACGTAGAAGGTTGCCTCGCCCGCATCCATGTCGACCACGATGCGGACGTCGGAGGGGATCGGGAACTGCCGGTACGGCTGGTCGTCCGCCTCGTCTTCAAACTGCCCGGACGTCTCCCGCTCGCTGTAGACGGTGCGCTCAAAGCGCCGGAGCCACCAGAGATTCTGCACGCCAAAGCCGTTGGGCCGGGGCTGAAACTCCAATGCCTCAGAAGCTCCCTCCTTGATCAGTCCGAAGCCGCAGCTCGCCTCATCGCCTTGTACCTCATCCTCCAGCAGCTTGAAGCGCACTTCGTAGCGCCCTGCGGCCAATGGCACGCTCAGCCGCACCAAACCGTCCCGAATGCGTTCGTCGTCGTCGTCGTCATCGTCGTCTTGCCGACTGCGGAACGTCAGCGTCTTGCCATCCACCGCCGCGATCGCACCTGGTGCTTCAATCACCCACTCGCCCCCTTGTGAAAGGCGAGGCAGGCTCCGCGCCGTCCCCTCCTTCGACAGCCCCTCGCGAAGCGCCTGCGCGAGCACCGTGAGTGCCGGGACGTTCTTCATCAGCGGCTCTTGCTCGACGGTCTCGCGGACAAACTTCTGGTCCATCGCCGCGAAGCGGACGTGCTCCAGCAGCGCCGCCACCGCGCCCTCCTCGCGCGCAGACTCCGGCTGAGCGCGGAGCCAGCGCACGAGGGCCGAGAAGACAGCCTCCTCGCTGGCCTCGATGTCCTCGCTGCGCAGCAGCACGCCCATCATCTCGGGCGAGAGGCTGGCGCCGAGCGACACCTCCGCAAAGTGCTTGAGCACGAAGGCGGTCGCCGCCGCCTCGAGCCGCACCAGCGCTGCGTCTGAGGCGAAGCTCCACGTCTCGACGCAGTTGGACACCGAGAGCCGAGCCTCCAGCGCCTCCGCGACGACGCCTTGCAGCGACGCGAGTTGCAGCCGCCCGGCCACTTCCAATAAGGTCTGCAGACCCGCCTCGTCGATCGAGCAGGAGCCCGTGTAGACGTATTCGAGCGCCGCCTCAAAGCAGGTGGCGCAAAGCTCCGGCAGCTCGAGCGCGGCGCTCTGCGAGTCGGCAAACGAGGCGGACCCACCGGAAAGCATCAGCACGCGGAAGTAGTCGGATGCCGCCGCGAGCACGTTGCGGTGCGCCAGAAAGGCGCGGCCATCGACCGTGACAGTGCAGTCGCAAAGCTGCTGCGCGCGGTACTGCTCAGCGAGAGCGCGGAGCGTGGGGTGGGAACCGTCCGGGTCGTGCAGCGGAACCAGGAGCGGACGCTCCTCGGCCGGCGTCGAGCCACTCCCGCGGCACGCGCGTTTGCGAGCCGGCATTGACCCAAAACTCTACGCAAAAGCGCGGCTCGCCCGGGCGCCACCGGGAAAGGAGGCGCAAAAAACGCGAACCGCCGACTTCACTCCAAGTGCTCCAAGTGCTCCGGTCTCGCGTCCACCCATTTACAAGTGCTTGAACCTAGCGATTTGTTTATCAACGGGCGCAGAGCGGCGATCCGCGAGGCATTTGACCTGTTCGACACCGACGGCTCGGGTGCGCGGCACCGCGAGCGCCGCACGCGCACGCGCTCCCACGTCCGCGTCACACCGCACCCGCACGCCGGCCTCGCCGCTCCTCCTCCTCGGGCGAGCCGACGCGCATGTCCAACCAGCGCTGGGACTCGTTGTGACGGCAGACGCCGGCTGCCTCTCCAACCGCTTCTGCAGCGTCCTTCTTTGCCCGTGCATGGGCTCGATCCGATTCCGCAGCGTGTCGTCCCCAGCGGGGGTGCTGCGCGGGAGGCGGCCGCGGGCACGCTGGGCTCGATCAGCTTTCCTTAGCACGGATTTGGCGGACGTTCGTGGCTTCAATTTTACGAATGTCTTGGCACCAGCTGAAGGCTTGCCCCCGTCCACGGCCCACATCACATGGTTTCCGCACGGTATTTTCGGATTTTGCTATTTGTTCGTGTGGGGGTATATTGCAGATTTGTCAATGGTACCGCGTCTGCGACGCGGGCGCCTTGCGGGCAGAGCCCTTAGCCACCCTTTATATCTTGCGCGGTCAAAAAGTATAAACCCCGAGGCGGACTAGGCAGGCAGACGACTGGCACTAACACAAAACCCGATAGGCACTCCAAGTGCTCCAACTTCAGCGGAAATCAAGGATCGCCATCCACGCTTCGGTCCTTATCGGCTGACAAACCGCCCCCCTCCCCTTTTGCCCCGCTTACCTCCGATGGCGGCTCGATCCGCGGCTGCCTCCATCACCTTCGCCGTCACCGATGTCGAGAGCGCAAGCTCGCGCAGCTCCGTGTGCGCGTTGACCTGGACAGTGTCGCCCTCCTCGTCCGTGTAGTAAAGCTTGAACGGAAGTGTGACCCCCAGCTCCGCCTCGAGGGCGCTGGCGAGCGCCTCCCCAAATTCTGCCGGCGACGACACCCCTCGAAGCGGTAAGCGCACTTCGCCCAACGCCTGACCGCCGCGCAGCACCCGCACGCGCCCCTCCTTTGGCCGCGCCCGCGGCTTGACGGCGCCGGCGCGCGCCTCCGTCGGGGCCACCACCGGCACCGCGTGCACGCCGCGCCGGCGCAGCATAAGCCGCTGCAGCACACCGAGTAGGCCACGCTGCCGGGCATAGTAGAGCGCCATGCCAAAGACGAGCAGCACTCCCCCGCTCACGATGCCAGCCGGCCCGCCCATCGGCCCTCCTATCACGCCGCCGACTGGCCCGCCGCCCGTTTCCGCCTCTGGTGGCCGTCGCTCCCCGCTCAAACGCGCGACAGTCGGAACTCGAGCAAGAACGTCGCCACCGAGCCGCGTTATGGGCGGTGGGGGCGGCGAGGGCGGCCGGAAGAGCAACGGCGGCGGCGGCGGTGAGGGTGGTGGAGGCGGCCGCGGCTTGGGCGGCGAGGGCGGCGGCGGCGGCGACGGGCTCGGGGGCGGCGAGGGCGGCGGCGAGCCAAGGCTGCCGCAGCTAAAGCTCAGCCGCGGCGGCCGCTCGCCGCGCACCGCGCAGCCAAAGGACTCACAGCAGATCCACGGCTGCATCACAAGTGCAAAGGTGACCGTCGTGGAGGAGAAGTCGACGACGCGCACGTTTTGGCACGCATGCTTCGGGATGGCGATGTCCTCGGTGTGGAAGTCGACCGTTACCGTCTTCTCCGCCTCCCACCCATCAACCAACACCTCCATGTAGAAGCCGCCGGTCCACGTGTCTTTGGCCGCGGTGTCTGGATCCTGCAGCCTGTCCGCATTGACCTCGGCGCAGCCCTTGGCCTGAGCAGAGAAGACGTGCTTCTTCTTCTTGGGTGCCGCTGTCACAGCCGCGCCCGAGTGCGCCTCGTTCCAGCCGTCGCTCATAGGCGCGGCGTCGACTTTTGAGTTTTGTGGCCGCGGGAGTGTGTTTGTCGGCGGGCGCTTCCCTGTGATCTGTGATCTGTAAAAGGGTCCGCCCCCACCCCCCAGGCGCATTTTGTACACCGAGGCGGTGCCCGGTGCCGAACCTGTCGGACTTTAGGACAGCATTGTAGATCCCCTGGGCGAGATTGCCGGTGGTGGTGTCCCCGTCGCGCGTCGGGAGGGGGCTGTCGCAGTGAGTGCCAGTGGTGGTCTACGTCACCCCGACAGCGGCCCGGCGGGTTCGGCTTAGGCCTCCCCTGTTTTACGTTATTGCAACAGCCCCGTCGGAGCACGGAGGTAGCTTCCCTGTTCTATCATCACCTCCGTGTTCACTCGAGTGGTTTCACGCATCACACCGGGATCACAGTTCACGGACTGGTTGGGTAGTAGTCTAAGTTTCGAGCCTCGACGCCTAGCGGGTCTAAGTGTGCTGGGGTGCTTGCGCGCTGGGGTGCTTGCGCGGTCTAAGATCAGCGGGAGCCTCTTACATCGGCTAAGTCGGCCGTGGCACGGCCTGGGGCCAAGAGGCTCCCACCGTGATCGATACAGTACGGCGCTCCGCCCAAATTTTCTTCGCCTGCGGCGGGCGCCTACTAAAATCCGGATCGATCCTCCTCATGCCTCAGCAATCGCCGCTCAGCATCCTCCCCTTCCGATTCTCGTTGCTGCTTCTTGAGCGCAATCTCTAGCCAAACATTTCTCACAAACAGCCTCAAGCTCAAACAAACGCATGTCAGAGAAGCCTGTGTATGCTGGTCCTCTTTGAACCTTGTTGGCAGCAGCCAGCTTGTTGCGCTGCTTCGTTGCGATGAGCTGATTGGGATCACAGAAGTGCATATCCATGCCAAAGCACCGCCACGATCTTGAAGCAGAACACATCGCAACCGCATCGTCCGCACTGCCATCAGCATGCCGCGCCCGCCGCTTCGCCGCAGCCGCCTTACGGCACGCATAGCGGCAGCACATGGTACGGTGCGCGTACTTGAGCAGGACTTGCGCGCCGCAAGTAGCGCACTGGCCCTGGGAGAAGGCGATATGGCGTCGTGTGCGGCATACGTTGGTCGGGACGAGTCCAGGTATTTTTCGGGTAAACCTGGACTTTTGCAGGTATACCCGGGTTTTACCCGGAGTTGGCCTTATGTCGTCTAAGTTCATGGCCCCCGACCATACAGCGTCTAAGTCTGAGCCCGGCTCCGTGCGGGGGCTAAGTTGAGCGCTCGCTCGCTGCAGAGGCTAAGTGTAGAGGAAGAGGCAAGAGCCAACCCTCTAGCCCTACTACCCAACCATTGTTCACGGACACGCCCTCACGGTATATAACCCATTTAAGTGCCGCGCTAACACCCACGTGAAACAACCAACGTAAATTCAAACCTCCAACGCCGACACCTCTCGAAGCGGCACATTGATCATTGTATCTCACCTCTCTTCCACGCTCGCCTCGATCTGCCGCCCCACATGCGTTCCCCTCCGGCTCTGCCGCACCACCAGCCGGTCTCCCGGCCGCACCTCCGTCACGCTGCGCGCCGACACCTCGCCGCCGCCGCCCTCGACGAGCAGCCGCACCGTCTCCGCCTGCTGCAGGAAGACCTGCCCCTTTGCGCCCTCCACCTCGAAGGAGACCAACAGCAGCGGCCGCGGCTCGACTTTGCAGCGGCCGACGGTGAGCGGGCGCGAGCCGCCGCGGGCGTCGGCGGCGAGCACGCGGTCGCCCGCAACAACCTCCTCGAGGTACTTTGTGCGCCCATCGGCCAGAAGGACGTACGAGTGAACCTGGGCTCGCAAGGCGCGTGCGTCGGAGGGGTCCGAGCACTCTTGAAGGATCGCGACGGGGCGTGTGCGCGAGGCGGGCACCGGCCCGGCGTTGACGCGAAAGGGCCGCGCCGGGACAAGCTCGCCTTCGATGGTCTCGCCGTGGACGAGGGCGAGCAGCTTGGCGGACGAGCCGACGAGCGCGCCTTCACCCTGCCGGAGCAAGCTGGTGAAATCGAGCGCCACTCGGTCACCGACCCCTCCCGCCTGCGGGACGAGTCATGGACGCGTCCTGAACGCGGGCGGAGGGTCGGACTCGAGAGGCTCGAGGACTCAAGCCTCCACCGACGTGACCACGCCGACGGCTAGCCCCTCCGCCTCGCTGCCCGCAGCGGCGCCCGCAGCGCGGGGCTCCTCTCGCTCCGCCCGCTGGGCGCGCGCGATGGCGCCCGCCTCCCACAGCGCCTCCCCCTCCGCGTCTTCGGGCGGAGAGAGCACGAGCGCATCTGCTCCAAGCTCGAGAGCGAACGCGAGCCCCGGAACGTGGCCGGCGGTGAGCGCCTACTCGCAGCTGTGATGCGGTGAAAATCAGAACTCGCGCCCGTGCTTCGTCGGCGGTGGCGCGCCGTGGCCGCCAGCCGCGTCGGGGTGGAGTGACAGACTGATATCACGTTCTCTGCCGGGATCATCGTCCACTCGTCCTCTGAGGTGGTGTCGAGATGGACCCAGTTCACCGAGCCGACGGCCGACATCGCCGCCGCCTGACCGGCCGGGTCGGAAGCTTGGACTCGGAGGCCCACGCGCTCGCCGGAAGGCGTGAGCAGCGCCGCCGACGGCTCGTCCGGCGCCAGCGGCGCACCAAAGAAGGCGGTGCACGGCGGCGCCTCCATCCACTCGGGCGACAGGCCCGTGACGAGCATCGCGTCCACCGGCGACGCGGCGGCCTGCTCACACTTGGCGAGAGCGCTTGCGAGGTCAGGCGGGAGGATCGCCCGGAGGTCGGCCCAGATCTGCATCGAGCGGAGCGAGGAGGCGAGGAGCATGCACGAAGCGACAGCCTCCGGAGGCACCCACCGACCCTCGGTCGAGGTGCGATCAGGCGGGCCGAACTCTGTTCACACCGAGCAGCGAGGAGAGACTGCGGTAGACGGCGCTTCAGCCCGGAGTTTATGGGCGGGCGGGCGGGCGGGCGGGCGGGGGGGGGGGGGTCTTTGTCAGTGTATGTAGCTCTTACGTACGTACCCGAAGGTGAACTGCTGACAGGGTTTGCAATGAGGAGCGATCCGAACGTGGTATTCGGGTGATCAGATCACTACCGCCGAAACGCAAGAGCACTGCGACGGATCGGCTCATGCTAGCATCCACCTACCTCGCGGGCCGATGTTCTGGCCCAGCGAGGCTGCTGCGGAGCACTCGCGGGCCGATTTCTGGCCCAGCGAGGCCGCTGCGGGACACACCGGCGGCTCGGTTCGCTCCTCAACGCAAACTCGGTCGAGCAAGAAGTCAGGTGTGTGTGTGAAGGCGGCGCGGCACGGTAAGGGTCGGCGGTACGGCGGCCACAGCGGCAACGGCAACGGACGGAAGGTAGGCGGTACGGCGGCACGGCGGTAACGGAAGGCAGGGGGGACGGCGGGCTAAACGGCAAGGGCGGCGCGGCACGGAGGAAGGAGCGGCACGGTAAGGAACGGCGGCACGACGGCAGACCACGCGGCAGCGAACGGCTGAGCATTGGGCGGCGGGGGTCAAACGGCTAGCGGGGGACGAGGGTGAGGCGAGGGTGGCAGCGGTTCGGATCACGAGGAAGTAGAAAGTCGGGCGCGAGCGGCGAGCAAGCGGCAAGTGAGTAAGGCGACGGGAGGGTGACGAGGCGGGGAAGCGGCGGCACGGCGGCAGAACGGCAGAACGGAAGGGCACTGGATGGCGGGTCGGACGGCTGAGCGGGGGCGGCAGCAGGAAGGAGGCTAGGCGGCGGTACGGCGAGGGGAGGGGGGAGGGGGGTGGCGGATGGATCACGAGGAAGTAGAGATTCGGGCGGGCGCGAGCGAGCGACGAGGCGGCGGGAGGGTGAGGCGAGGGGGGTGGCGGGTGGATCACGAGGAGGTAGAAAATCGGGCGCGAGCATGTGAACTGCGCGCGGGCCTTCTAGGCCCGCGGGTAGTCTCACCCCATCCCCAGGGCCTCCAGGGCTCGCACCTCAACCTCTCACAGACCAGCGCATAGCGCCATAGGACGTATTTTCTTGTCAATAACAAGGCTGTGCACGAACGGCGAGCGAGCGAGGCGGCGGGAGGGTGACTAGGCGAGGGTGGCGGATGGATCACGAGGGAGTAGAAATTCGGGCGATCGGCGGGAGGGTGAGGCGAGGGTGATGGCGGGAGGAGGGGCGGCGAGGGCGAGGGCGGGCAAGCGATAGGCGAGACGACAGGGCGGCGGGCAATTTGTTCGGTCACCTCGTGCAAGCCCCACCCGGCTGGCGAGTGGGCTTGGGAGCGAGTGACGGGTAATCGTGGCCGTGGCCAATTAAGCTCCCTGTTTGGACCACGGTGAAAAACTCGACGGTTTTGGGCGTTTCAGAGCACGCTGAATCGATTGGCTGAGCTATAATTCTCGCCAGCCCTTTCCTTTCATAATTATTGACTCAAAACTCGATGATCGCGCGACTTTGGAGCCGTTATAGCTCAGCCAAAACGTTCCTCTCGAAAAATTGACTTAGGAAGCCGCAAACGGCAGCTTCTCAAAGCCTCACCGGCGCTTATTCTCTTGATCTTTCAAAACCTAGGCCTGCGGCCAAAATTTTCTAAAGGCCGCTGCGCGGCCAGCGCGATGCGCAACCAGTCAGCGACCGACAATCAGCAGCAGACTGTGACGATTGGCGGCCTCGTGCCCTCAGTCGACCTCCTCTACCAACTCCCCTGCCCAGCCCATATGCCTCATCCACGGTGGCGCAACCACTCTCGCAGGGAGAGAGAGAAAGTCGGCGATCTGCACGATGAGCTCCGCCTCGTCTGCGTCGAGGACGCCCATCGCAGGGCTGTCATAGCGCCATTGCACATGACGTACTGCATGTTGTTCATTACTTCGCAGGTGCCAAAGTCGAGGATAATCTCACTCAGCGATGGCGAAGGCTGCACTCCCGGCCGGCGGTAGGAGGGATGAAGGTTAATGTACTTCGCAGTGTACAGTGCCTTCCGGCGCGAACAGTGCCCGGGACGAAAGAGGAGGCGACGTCTCCCTCGTCCATGGACGGTGTAGCCAGCTTGAGAGACGGGAACGAACGGCGGTGAATCGCCGACAGCGGCGCCTTCGTTCCTTTCCAGTGAATCGCCGGCGGGTGCCCTGAGCGTTGTATCTGTCGGCCAGTTGCCGCACCGCCGGCAGCAGCTCCGCAGCAGCCGCCCAGATGGCGCCGGTTAGGACAGGAGCGAAGCCGCGTGGACACGGCTGAGCGACGCCGTGCGTCTCGTTTGGATGCTGCAGGCATGCCGGGCAGCGCGCGTGCTCCATCCATACCGCGTCGGGCGCCCGCCGAAATCTTCGATTTCTTCGGCGTAGGGCGTAGGGTGCCCACAGGACCCAAAAGAAAATAGCTTTCCGCCTCAAAAAGGGACGCACGAGGCAAATCTGATGTTGGAGTGTTCCAATAGGAGCGAGGCCTCTTCCGTTAGGTGAAACGTCTAAAGGACGAAGATGCACGGAGGTGCGACCAACTCCGCACGACGGGCGGAGAAGACGGGCACTAGACCAGGGAGGACTGGGAGAGTGTGGATGGAGGGACACGTGTGGTTCAGACGTCCCCCCCTTCGACGTAGTCGAGTCACTCACATGGAAAGAGAGGAAGTGTCCCTCTCGATGGAGCATGGAACATGCATGAGGAGAGTCCGTGGCTCTCGGGCGGCGCGCGACGCGGGCGCGTGGCGAGCGGCATGGCGCGTGTGCTCATGGCTCGGCGAAGGAGACTCGCTTCCCGTCTGACGTTCATGATCTTGTCTCGCAGCTCGAAGAAGCGCTGGGGCTTGAGCGGCTTCGTGAAGTACGTAGTCCGCGAGATTCTGGCGACGGTCTCGAGGATCAGCCTCTGGAGCTTTGGCCGGACACCAGCGATCGAGGAACGGATAGCAGCTAAGAGGGCAATAGAAGTGCCGCCAGCACCCTGGATCTTGGCGGCTTTCTCGCGGTAGATGGTCCGTAGAGCATCGTCGGCGAAGAAGGTCTTGACGCGCGGGGCGACGACAATCCCCGCAACGATAGCAGCCTGTTTCTCATTGACGGATTTGTGGACAGCTACGGTCTGCGCGAAGTCGTCGGCAGCAGGCTTCCGCGTGTCGTCGGCGACGAACTCGAGTACGAAGGTGGTAAGTCGGAAAGGTCGCGCAGCTCGAGCTGTTCCAGCTCGTGGCGCGCGCAGCGCACCGCGTCGGCGCTGGTGCTGCAAACGGTGGGCGAGATGTTATCAATGTAGACGGCGCCATTCGTGAGGAAGAAGTAGCCGATGCCCTCGGCGTCCTGTAGTCGGCTCCACTCGAGGAACGTGGCGAGGTTCGCCGCGAGTTCGGGAGGGAGGAGGCCGGGATGAGCTTGAGCTCGGTCTGTAGTGCATTGGCACTCTGTTGAGCGCCTTGCTGGAGTTCCCGAGTTTCGGAATGCACCAAGGTTAGAGAGAGTCGTGATTTCTTGTTGGTTAATAAAAATCTCTCTCTCCCAAGGTTAAGGTGGGCGTGTCAGGCATGGCCTGTGGGAAGATGCTAGATGGGATAGCGTGTCGGGCTCCACAAAGGGCTGACGCGACCAGTCGAGTCGCTGCCACGTGCAAGCCCCACCCGGCTGGCGAGTGGGCTTGGGGCGTGCCGCCCTGCTTGCTCTAGGTGAAACGTCTAAAGGACGAAGATGCACGGAGGTGCGACCCAACTCCGCACGACGGGCGGAGAAGACGGGCACTAGACCAGGGAGGACTGGGAGAGTGTGGATGGAGGGACACGTGTGGTTCAGACGCACCTTAGGCCGCAAACAGCCGCACGGAGTTGCAGGTCATGTGAGCGCCGGAGCGCTGCCGACTCCAAGCAAAAGAAGAAAACGATGTGCCCCAGCCACATGCACACGGCGCTCGACGCGACCAGCGCTCGCCAGCACGTCCGCTGCGTGCCGTCCTCGTCCGTGCCGCCGCTGCCGCACAGGTCCCTCGAGCCGGTGGTCACTCCGGGCGAGCCGATCGACGCGGAGCCCGGCTGCCTCCGAGGGCACGGCACGCTGATGCGCGACGACGGCACCCTCGTCGCGACGGTCTCGGGTGTGGTGGAGCGGGTCAACAAGCTCGTGTCGGTCCGACCGCTGCGGGCGCGGTACCACGGCGAGGTGGGCGACGTGGTAATCGGCCGGATTGTCGAGGCGCGCCGCCGCCGCATGGGGAAGGAGGGCACGCAGGATCGGGCTGAGGGAGCACACGCCCTGGCGCAGGTGGGCGCCAAGCGGTGGCGCGCCGACATCAACGGCCGGCAGGACGCCGTGCTCATGCTCGCCTCCATCAACCTGCCGGGAGGAGAGCAGCGGCGGAGGACTGCCGAGGACCAGCTCAACATGCGGTGGGCGGAGCCCGCTTCTGCCACACTCGCAGCTCGCTCGCGGCCGCGCCCCGCTCTCACCCCGCCGCCGCCTCGCGACACCGCGCCGCCCGCCGCCGCCCGCTGACGCCGCCCGCCGCCCTCCGTGCCGCGCAGCCAGTTTTACGTCGAGCACGACCTGCTGTCTGCAGAGGTGCAAGCCTTCTTCCAGGACGGGGCCTCGTCGCTGCACACGCGCTCGCTCAAGTACGGCAAGCTCTCGGGCGGCTCCCTCGTCATCGTCTCGCCCGGCCTCATGAAGCGCCTCAAGCAGCACTTCCACCTCTTTGAGTTTGGCGTCGCCGCAATCTTTGGCATGAACGGCTACGTCTGGGTGTCGCCGGACCGGTCGGGCGGCGCGGCGTCCGGCGCGGGCGACGAGCTGAACGACGTCTCCGACGAGCATCGCGCCGGGGCCGCGCCCGCCGCGCCCGCGACGCTCGAGGAGCGGGAGACGGCCCGGCCGCGAGAGGAGCGCCGGAGCCCTTTCCAGGAAGCTTCTCGGAAGGTGTCCCGTAGGAGCGGGAGAGGGTCTGCCGCGTGAGGAACGCCCTCGTCGCCCTCGACGCGCGCTGCGTGGCCGTCTCGCCCGCCACGGTCGCCGCCGTCTACCGTGCGCCTCCCGCCCCGCCCTCGCACGCACCAGCCCTCGCACTCACTTGCCCCTGCTCCTCGGCCCGAGCCGATGCCACTGCCAGCCCCACCGCCCCGCCCTCCTCCGCTGCGCAGGCGCGTCCCTTCGCGCGAGCCTCTCGCCGCGCGACATGCTGCTGCCTCAGCACATCGCCACCATCGTCGAGCCGGCGCGCGGCCATACGCCCGCCGCGCCACCCGCCCCCTGCTAATTGCCGCCCGCTCCCGCTCCGCGACCGTTCGTCCCTCCCTTACCGACCGCAGGCGCTCGCAGTGCACGGCGGCGGCGGCGCGGCCGCGGCGGCGATGAGCGAGGACGCTGGTGTCTAGGGACGTGGGTGAGGGGCGGCGTGTGTGGTGCTGGCGGGGTGCTTATAGCGCTCTGGGCCGCGTTCGCAAGAAGACTGAGCCGAGCTTAGTTTGTGGTTTGCCGTCCACGCGTGCGCGAGTCGCGATATGCGAGCCGACAGCGCGTGCGCACATTTAGACACACCCCCCCGGCCAAAACTCGCCAGTCGGCCGTCTTCCGTTCAGCTTCATACATGAACTTATGAAAAGCTACATCAGTTCGCGGCCGGGGTCATGTGAAGGCCGCGGGAGGTACGTGCGCCTCACGTCGACCGAACGCAGAACGTCAAAACGCAGCGCACACACAAACTCAACAGGATCAGCTATGACGTTAACCGCCAGCGATGCTCTGATGTTGCTGTCGTCGGAACCACGCCTACAATATGAGCAGAAGCCTTTGCGCCGATTTGGTGCCTCTCTACGCTCGAGAGATGGTGCGCGCCTGCTCAAGCATCGGTCGACGGAGCACACAGGCCGGCTGCGCCAAAGAACGTGAGAATGCGTGGTTCGTTTTTCTTATGCTTCCTTGGAGCGACTCCCGTGCGTTCGGCACCTGCAGGCTTCCTTGGAGCGCTTCCCGTGCGTTCGGCACCTGCAGGGCCGGCGATTTGTGTGCTCGCGGGACCACCATTGCAGCCCAGGAAATGACGAGCGGCACAGAAGCTTCTCAGAGCTCCTTGACCTTGATTACCTCAGCCTCTCCAACAGACCAGCGCATAGCGCCATAGGACGTATTTTCTTCTCATAACAAGGCTGCGAAAAGGTTCAACTCAAAATTGTTCCCACCCTGGCGCTAAAGTTCCTAGGATTCCTACCACTACCTTCTTCCTTCTAGCGAACGAACGATATCTACCCTTCTTCCTCAGAGCGAAGGGGCGAACGATATCAACCTCGAGCTCTGTGTCTTGCTTTGAAAGAACAAAACAGCCGCAACGAGACCTCGAGAGAAGGGAACCCCCGTGGATTCCAGTGGACCGAAGAGCACCCTCCTGCCTCCCCTCCTCCGGCATGCCGCTCACCCTCTCTGAGATCGAGGACATCCAGGCGCCCGCGTGCGAGCGGCGAGGGCAGCGACAGCTCGTCTTCTCACCTCGCTCCGCTCGCGCTAGGCGGACCTGATGGCGGACGACGTCGAGATCGACTTTGAAAAGATGAAGCTGTGGGACGCAGACCAAGTGACCTACTACTTTGAAAACGGCGGCGCGGAGCCTCCCGGCGAGTGGACTCCGCCGCCGTGCGTGCCGCTGACGCCGGTGCGAACGCCTGAGGCCTGCATATGCATTGCACACGGAAGCCCGAGCCGCATCCTCGTGCGATCCTTACAGGTGGACGACGCAACCTTCAAAAAGTGGTTCCCAAAGTGGAAGCCGCCCGCCGCGACGCCCAAGTTCCGGCTGGTCTGCTTCCACAACGCCGGCTCCGCCGAGTCGAACTACACCGGCAAGGGCTTGCGCATGCCGAACGACAACCCGTGAGCGCCACTCGCTAGCCTCCGCCACCGAAGCTGTGCCGCCTCTGCGTCGCTGCTGACGTCGCTCTCCGCCGCAGGTTCGTGGTGGCGTGCAACGAGCGCGGCGGCGAGCTGCTCGCCGTCGAGCTCCCTGGCCGCGAGTCGCGCCGCGCAGAGCCGCGTTACAGAACGCTCAGCGTCGCAGCAGAGGCTCTCTTCCCGGTCCTCGCGCCCAAGCTCAACGAGTCGGTGCCGTACGTGGTGGTTGGCCACTCGATGGGTGCGGCTCTCTCGCGCTCTCCCTCTCGCTCCGCTCTCTCTCTCTCTCTCCCTTCCTCGCGCTCTCGCTCTCGCTCTGCTCTCTCTCTCTGCTCTCTCTCTCTGCTCTCTCTGGCTTTCTCGCTCTCTGGGCGCCGAAGCCAGAAGACAGCCACGCTCGCCTCCCGCCCGGTGTCAGGCACGTGGATGCTGTTTGAGACGCTCAAGCTGCTTATGGCGCGCGGGGTGCGGCTGCCCGAGCAGGTTGTTGTCTCCTCCTTCCCTGCGCCGTCGCTGCCTGCGGCGAAGCGGCCGTGGCGCGCAAACAAGGGCATGGACGACGATGCGTTCAAGGAGGAGTGCCGCACGTGGTCGGTCAACGAGGTGGCCTCTCTCCCCCCATCCACCTCTCTCTCCCTCCCTCTCTCCCTCCCTCCCTCCCTCCTTTGGCTCACCCTCACAACCGCCCGCAGGTGGTCTTCTCTGCTGGCATGTGGACCAAGGGCCCGAACTATGAGGCGCTGATGCGCGACGACTTCACGCTCTTCGATGCGTACGAGTACGCGCCAGCTGTCGCGCCGCAGCTGCCGATGCCTGTCTCTGCCTACTACGCGCGCGACGACAAGAACGTTAAGGAGAGCCACGTGGCGACGTGGAAGGACATGACGTGCAAGGATTTCAGGCTGGAGGAGGTGCCGGGGAACCACCTCTTCTTCTACCAGTATGACGTGCGCAACAAGTGGATGGACCGCGTGGTAGAATCTCTGCCCGACGGCTTTATGTGAGACCGCACTGAGAGAGGATACAGCGCGCGCACGGCGACCGGAGAGAAAGCATTGTGATTGTCAGAAGCTCCTGCCTCCTCAGTCACTCTCCTCCCTCCTCGCACGCGCGCCCACCACCTTGCCTTTTTCGGGGCCGGGGGCGATAGCCGATTCAGAGAGTCTCTTTATGTATCTCGAACACGAAAGTAATAGAGCAAGCCAGTTGGTTCACACATGTGTGCACCGGTTGAGAGATGAGAGGCCAAACAGAGATACAACGCTGAACGCAGCAGAGATGGCACTTGGCAGAGCGGTGGCTGGAATCTCCCCTCTACCCTGTCACCTCCACCGCGGCGCCGGCCGCTGCGGCAGCAGCCGCCGCCTCGGCCCTCTCGTGCCGGTCCCTCTCCAGCCGCTCCTCGGGTGTGCCGCCGTGCGGCGCCGCGAGGCCGCGCAGCGTGTCGAAGAGCGCCCGCGCGAGTGCCTTGTCGCCGGCGCACACCTCAGCCCACTTGCGCAGGCCGCGGTCGGGGTCCGCAAAGGCGGAGAGCAGGTCGGAGCCCTTTCCCACGCCGAGGCGCGACGTCGCTGCGAACATGCGAGGCACGCGGGGTGGCGCTGCCGCGCACGGCGACGGCGGCTCGAAGCGAAGCGTCAGCGTGGCGTCGGCGTCGCCAGGCCCCGCGAGGGCCGCGGCGCCCTTTTTGAGCGTGGCGAGCAGCGCCGCCCGCTCGCCGCCGCCGCCGCCGCCACCGCCGCACCCCTCGCCCTCCGTGTCGAGGACGCACCCGACGAGCCTCCACCCGGGCGCGACGGCGTGCCGGCACGCGGCGGCGGCGGACGCAAGGGGCGTGCCCGTCGACAGCTTCGAGACGACGGGCGGCGCGTCGTCCGCCGGCGGCGCCGCCGCAGGCTCAAATCCGATCCCCAGCTTCGCTCCGGAGGGCCACTGCGAGCGGCGAAGCGTGAACGCCTCGGCCGTGGGCGTGCCGCCGTCTGGCGTGGCGGCTGCGTTGATCGCGGCCGCCGCCGCGGCGGTGGCCTCCAGCCACCACCGCACCACCTGCACCGTCCCCCAAGTGCACGGGTCGGAGGGCAGCGCCGGCGGAGCGGATCCGTCAGGCGACGCGGCGCGCGCCACCGGCCGCCGCGTCAGCACCCGCGCGCCGCACGGCGCCGCTGCGCCACCGCCGCCTCCGGCCATGCCCACGATGACGCCGCCGCCTCCGCCTCCGCCGTTGGCGTCGCCCGCGCCGGCGCCGACGGCGAGCCCGACGTGGCTGAGCGTGGACATGGCGTGCTCCGCGTCGGCCGAGGAGGGCGAGGCGGTCGCAATCAGCACGAGGCGGCCTGCGCCCTGCGCAAGGTGCGACAGGGAGGCCGCGCGTTA